CAGTTTTAACTTTATGGGTAAGTGTTGTACCAATTTTCAGAGGCCCCAGTAAAATAGGTCTCATTCATCCACTATAATGTTCCATGTTGATTGTTTGTGGACAGTAACACTAGAATCAGGTGAAATCCACGTCTACTCAGATCTAATTGAACTGTACTGAAGTATGATGTTGGCACTACACTAAGCAGAAAAATTCAACTTTCTAGCCCATCAGATACAGCACAGTCAAATCAAGCACTGAAATTCACTTTAGAGTGCAAACAGAGTAAAAAAAGAACTCTAAGCAGCTGTTATTTTAAATAAAGGATTTCTATACTGAGTGGCAATCCATGAGAGCACTCTGTTGGAAACATAAATATGCATTTTAACAACAGTATCTGCCCCCCCCCCTCCTCAAACATAACTTCAGAAGTGGGGGGCTCAGGATAAGATCTAAGAGGTGTAAAGAATTATAGACTTGTCTCATGTTGTTCCCTAACTTGTAATCTTAAGATAAACAAACACATTCAGTACTCTATTGCCAGCCCTGAAACGAGGAACTTAAAACTAGCCTTATCGTTTTATGACAACCCTATATTATTTATTTGTTGTCTTGGCACACTCAGGTTTAGGACTGTGCACAGAAGGGTTAATGTGAAACAGGCTGTATGTGCAGGAAGTGGCAGGTATCACTGATCACAGCTGCAGGGGAAAGTAAGTACTCATGCAGAGGTAGCTGCTGCCGTCTCCCCACACGTACAACTAAGTTCACCTTGGTCTCTCTGTGTGTGGTCAGGCAATCATGGAGAAATCTGACATTGTGAACTTCTGAAAGGAGCTGTAAAGAATTATGCTTTTCTGCATTCTCATTTACTCACTGTTAAGTTCCTGTTTCTTCATATTTTCCCCACCTGTTCTCCATGTCTTTTGCTCCCTCTAGTCATCAATTTGATATCAAACAGCTTTATTTTCCATTTGTCTGCAGGGAGATATGCTCGAAATAAATCAGTTTGATACAGAATCAACCACTAGAGGGGGCAAAACACGAGTGGAACAGGGAAAAAACCATGAAGAAAAAGAGAAACAATAGTGAGTAAAATGAGAATGTGGGATAGCCCTAGGTTTTGTAGTGAAAAGCCAGAAAGTTGTCAGCATACACTTCAGAACATTTTTAAAAGGAGGCAGAGCTTTCTGTTACAAGAGGCCTTTTTCTTCGCCTCAACAAAATTTCTATGGTGTTCAGGAAGTATTCTCTAAACAATATTTTTTCCTGAGGTACATTCTTCAAGATAAAGTGCAGTTGTTACCTTTAAAAAGGTAACATTTGAGGTTAAGCATTTGAGGTTATGTAAGTTGAATCATTTTGACGCAACTGGATGTTGTAACTCTATGTCAAGCATGTTAGACAAATAAAAATATTTTAAAGTCTTTTATTGTGTGATTTAAATTTTGGTGGGAAGCAAGCCATTGTACACCAAAAAAAAAACCCACAGCAATTATATTTTTATAAATATCTGACTTAGCAATGCTTTTTCACAATCTCTGTGCCTCACACTGACAGGAACTCACATGTGCCCATAGTAAAATTCAGAAATTTCAAGAGCTGGAAAAACGATTTCTGTGCTGGTTCTACCCTTCCCGGCATACTGAATGTTTGCAGATGCCCCTTCCCCATCCCAATGATGATAGTTTCTGAAGCCCCATTCTTTAATTTAAAATATATGAGTGCCTGCTTGTGCTACACTCCCAACCGTGGTTGTTGTTTTTTTTAAGAGGTGCTGGAACTCTCAAGAGGGAAATGAAGTTTTCAGTCTGTATACTTGAAAACTCATAAACTTTAAAACATTTTTAAAAAGAATTTTGTTGGTTCTGGAACTCCGTTCTGGCACATTCCCCCAGAAAAAAGCCCTGCTTCCAAGTCAACAAACCTCTCATTGGAAAATTTACAAGGGGAGGGGTTTGGGGGACAGAGGAACTGTGTTTTAAGACAGACATGCTTTAGTCTTCTGGGAGAAGCAACCATTCAGAGAAGACATGCACAGGATCTGAAGAGAAGTGATCAATCAAGATGGAGAGGTAACAGGGATTATTTTAGTCTGAATAAGAAAGGCTGGCCATTAACTTCACTAAACTCTGATCTGTGTTTTTGGAATAATTCTGGCACTGATAGGCATTTTTAAAATGGTGTTTCTAATTGCTTTTTTGAAACAGCCCACCTTTCCCAAAGCTAAGTAATTCCCCCCCCCCCGGCAAATATTTTTAAGCATATGTCCCCCCAAATCTGAGTTCATAGGTGGTTGAGTATAATTTTTAAAAATTGAGTCATTTTATTAAACAGAAAAACAAAGCTAGTCAGTCATCTTAGGATATCACTCTGATAGGTTTTTCTATGAGTTTACACATTTCTGCCTGCAACTCCTTCAACTTGTTATGTATTAAGCTCAAAGTGCACCAGAGAACTGACCTAGCTTGAACACCTAAATAATAGACTACTAGGATCCTGAAGGGGACCTATTGAATGGGAGTTCTCCTTCAGTGGGGGGAAGTCATCCAGTAACTGGTTAGGTCATGCCTCTGCTCGCTCAATAGGCTATGCAAATTTCTTTTGTTGCATGGCTCCTACTGGAGTGGCCCTGGCCGACCTTTCCAGTTCCTGAAATCACTTAATAAACTATGAGCTGATCACTAACGCATCTAGAACCCAGTATATTGCCAACTGCAATCAAGTTCTGAAAAGGCTTAAATAAGTTCTCACCAAAGATACCCTCCCTCACTAATTCCAGGAACATCTCCTCCCCGTTCTATTTAAAAAGTGGGTCCTGGGAGGCATGGATTGGGACAAACTTTTTTCTTCTTTCCCAGGATCCTCAAGTAGGAGGTGGATGGGTGCATTTTTACACGACAACATCATTCACTGATGAGGGAGCTAAATGCTGACCTTTCCTACCCGAGACTGGAATTTTTCCCCCAGCTCAGCTCTGAGACTCAACCAGGCAGTGTAAAAAAATAAAATAAAAATGCTTCAAGCACCCAGTTCAAATATGCAACAAGACAGAGAGGAGTGCTGTTATGTACTGAGCCTAAGCCATTCCTCAAGCTTTTCTAGAAACGGGTTGAGCTTGCCACTTTAGAACAATAGCTTGCCAGGATCATGGAACAAACCAATAGATAAGTGTTGTAATGTAAATAGCCTATCACTGGGAGTGGGTGTGTGTTGGGTGTGGTGTGTGCATGCTTTATAAGCAGGGCTCAAGCCCTGCTAGTCTGTCCTTGTAGTTTGCTGAAATCACTTAATAAACTAGAGCTGATCACTGCAATGCGTCTAGAACCCAGTATTTAACAAGTGCCCATACCTTTCCCACTCTGGTGTTGCTTAAAAACAGTACCACATTGCTTACTTTATAAGTGAATATGATGGGCTGCTTGACTTTAATAGCAACTGAGAGGATGGCAAAATTCTTCATGGTTCCTGGGTGTCTTCCTTGAAATAATAGAAACTGAGACAGCTGCAGTTTTCTTTCATAAGAGATGCAGCTGATCCATCCTTATCAATGGTCTTTCACAGCTCATCTAGTTTGGTGTGTGTTGGGGGATGAATGAAGCTTCTGCCGCCACTCCTCCCCTGCAGTCTGCCCCGCCCCCTTTGCCTTTCTAGCAAATACAAGCAAAATTGTTCCCCTGCTATTGTGTAGTGGGTTAGCTGCATGAATGAGGGACGCAAACTGGCATGGTCCAATGCACGCTTTATTAGTACACAACAAGAGAGAGCAACTAACGGCCGGCTGGCCAACTATATACATCCTTGGGGCCACACCCCTGGGTCCCGTTGGTGGGTTTGAATCTCCCGCCACGGTTCCCATTGGTTCCCCAGTGGAAGGACTAGGATCCTAGTCCTCATTGTTCTCCCAGAGTCAAGCTCTAGGGAGTTTGCTGGCCCCTGGTGGCGGTCAGCGGACACAACACCTGCCTGTCTATAGTTCATTCTGCTGCTCCAGACAATGGAATCATATTTGCATCAAGAAGGTGCAATTAGTGGAAAGTGAAAACAGCACAAAAATGCTAACCGAGGGCCTGTGGCTGAGGTTCCAGTTTCCTACGTATCTGCTGAAGCAGAGTCATTCCCCTCACTGCCTCAGCCCCGCCCCCAGCTGCCTTAGAAACCAAAACCAGATGCTGAGGCACCAGAACACTGTCAGTCTAGAAGGGTTCCAACTATTCCAAAATGTTAGAAATCAATGTTTCAGATGTGCAGAGCTTCTGAATGGAGGGAAGGTAGCATGGTATAGCCCAGTCTCATCAGATCTCGGAAGCTAAGCAGGGCTGGTACTTGGAAGGGAGACCAGTCCACCAAGGAAGAGTCTTCAGAGGAAAGCAATGGCAACCCACCTCTGCTTCTCACTTGCCTTGAAAGCCCCCTTGCTGGGGATGCCATAAGACAGCTGCAATTTGACAGCACTTTACACACCCAGAGTTTCTGATATGAAGGGGGTATATTTTGGTTGGATCTTGGATAGTACATTTCCTGATGCAGACCATCAGTTCAATAGGGCTAAACACACCTTATTCTGTGCTTATTGTAGCAGATGAATTCTGAAACATCCAGTTTCCTAATATGGAATAATGGTACTGGCTATCAACTGGAAAATTAGGGCAAAAACTGTTGAATGGTGTGCCTTTTAGAATTCATTTTCTTAAAACATTCTAATTTAAAGAAACTAAAGCTATTATTTTTAAAATGCCAATTAAGAGTCCCTAAACCATCACTGCAACAATTTTCATTGTTTTCAGTTTTCCCAGCAGTTAAATGGATTATCTAAAAATTAACAGCCCCAACAACTGAAGCATTTCACTAATCCCCACCACAGTTCTCCCTGTGTTGGCTTCATAAGATTCCTGATGAACTGTTTAATCAAGAGATTGAATTTATATAGTTTTATTTGATTGAAATGAAGAGATGTATTTTGGTAATCACGTTGCTCTTGTCTACAGATCTCTCAAGACCGGAGATAGCTCTCCTTCTTCTACTGCAGAAATGCTCTGAGGAATTCATTGTAGGAGATTTTGGAAGTCAATACTTTGTCATAATATTCCAAGATGTGAAAAAACTCCTCTTCAGACAGATTGATGCTATACTTTCGGAGTACCTGCAGAACACACACACACACACAAAAACACAGCTTATTTTTAATTAGGAGCTACCTGGGAAAGTCTGCAGTAGGAAAACAATAGGGAATCCATACTCTTGGTTGAAGACAAAGTACCTCATTTTGCTCCTAAGACTTATGTAACATTTGAAGTTACTTTTCTCAGTGTTCCCAACAGAGCAACATGGTTCTATGGTTCCCACACTACCTGCTAAGAGCCACCCCCTCTCGCCTCCCATCACTCACACAGACACACCTTTCTCCACTTTCCCACTTGTAAGCTTTAAAAGTTTGCTTGAGGGAACTTCAGCTAATTTCACACACATTGGATAACGTACTTTCAATGCACTTTAGCAATTGTTTGCAAGTAGATTTTCCTGTTTCACAGAGGAAATCCAGCTGCAAAAGCACATTGAAAGCATGTGAAGTTAGTCCTATTTGCATGACCCACATCAATCATTGCATGCAGTTCTACCCCTGAGTGGCTCCTTGGTCCCATCCAAGAAGACTGCACTTTTAGAGAGTGGCTGACAGCTTGATTTGAACGCTTAAGGTCAGTTTTTCATTTTAAACAAGCTTAAGTTCCCCTTAAGCATGTTGCATACACTATATTTAATTCTGGTTTTCAAGCCACAGTCCTCCTTAAGGCATTTGTAGCCACTCTGAAAAAGTAAAAATAACTCAGGTAATGGTTCACCCACATCTTCAGATGGGGGGGGGGGCAAATAGATGAAAAGACAGCTGCAGGGACATGTCTATGAAGAACATATACAAACACAGGAGTGACTGTCACTAGAAAACACAGATAACATAGAGGATCCTGCTTAGGCAGCTAAGCCCAGTCAGAGAAGCACCAGGGTAGATGGGAGCAAGGAGCTGAACCTTCTGGACTGCAGCTGCTCTTTATGGAAAGCTTTCCCTAGGGAAGTACTCATTCATAGAATCATAGAATCACAGAGTTGGAAGGGGACATACAGGCCGTCTAGTCTAACCGCTGCTCAATGCAGGATCAGCCTAGAGCATTCCTGACAAGTGTTTGTCCAGCTGCTGCTTAAAGTCTGCCAGTGAAGGAGCTCACCACCTCCCTAGGCCGCTGATTCCACTGTTGCACAATTCTTACTGTAAGAAAGTTTTTTCCTAACATCCAGCTGGTACCTTCCTGCCCTTTACTTAAGCCCATTATCTCGAGTCCTCTCCTCTGTTGCCAACAAGAACAGCTCCCTGCCCTCCTCTAAGTGACAGCCCTTCAAATACTTCAAGAGAGCAACTATGTCCCCCCTCAACCTCCTCTTCTCCAGACTAAACATTCCCAAGTCCCTCAGCCTTTCCTCACAGGGCTTGGTCTCCAGGCCCCTGATCATCCTCATCACTCTCCTTTGCACCCGCTCCATTCTGTCCACATCCTTTTTGAAGTGGAGCCTCCAGAACTGCACACAATACTCCAGATGCAGCCTGAACAATGCAGTGTACAGCAGAACTATGACATCTTGTGATTTGGATGTTATGCTTTGTTGATACACCCCAAGATCGCATTAGCCATTTTTGTCACTGCATCACACTGGCTGCTCATATTTAACTTACGGTCCACCAGCTACCCAGAAGTCTATCCCCCATCCAGTATATCTTCCCATGCTCCCTCCCACCCAATTATCATGAGCCAGGGACATACAGGAACCATCTAATAAGAAATAGGGGGGGATGCCCTTCACTTTATGCTGCCTGGGACCTCCTTGCACACTGGCATGCTACTATCTTAGCAAGGACAGCCCCCTTTTTTGTCCCAGGCTCCTAGGTGCCAGCCTTCCCAAAACGCTACCCTTCGATTACATTTGCCAGCCTCGGGCAGGGAGACACTGCTCCCGTTATTTGCCTCTTTCCCCCATCATCCCCCGCAAGAACTGCCGCCACTGTCGCGCACACGCGTGTGTGTCTATGAGAGAGAGAAACAGTGAGCCAGGGGGATGCATGGAGTGGTGGGAGGGGGGAGGCTGCACGTGTCCTGCTTCTCCCCTTTTGCAGCTGCCAAGGGGGAGTCTCCATTAACACAGCTGTCATGTGTGTGTGTGCAAAGAGTGTGTGAGTCCTGGGGGATGCATGGAGGTGGGGGGTGGAGATGTGTGAGGGAGGCTGCATGTGTCCTTCTCCTCTTCGGAATCTACAGCCTGGCGCTCCTCCTGGGCCTGCTGTGGACGGCGCTGTGATCAGTGTGTGTGTTGAGTGTGGAGCCAGCCAGTGGAATGGGGGTGCAAGCCGCACGCGTCCTTCTCCTCCTCCATCAACATTTGCTACAATCCTTCCTTTAGGCCAGTCTCCTAGAGAAGAAGTCAGTGGGCCCAACGTTCTCTCTCCCTCCAATGCTGCTGGAATTGCATACCAGACTTAACTCAAGTAAGGGCATACTTTCCAGTTTTCAAGTTTTATCACTTTTATGAAACACTATTTACACGTGGTCTGCTGTTTTTAATTTAACAAGCAAGGAGAAAAGTATGCCAGGTCTGGGATTAGGGTTGACAATCTCAAGGTGGGGCCTGGAGGCTTCGTGCTTTTACAACTGATCTCCAGACTACAAAGATCGAAATATCAGTTCCCCTGGAGAAAATGGCTAATTTGGACGGTGGACTCTATGGAATTATACCACACTGAGGTCCCTCCCCTCTCCAAACCGCACTCTTTCAACGCGCTCTTTCCAGGCTCCACCCCCAAAATCTCCAGGTATTTCCCAACCCAGAGCTGGCAACTGTATCTGGGATCATAAACGCTGTAGGTAAACCATCTTTTTCCAGTAATGACCACAAGTGAAATGACCTGTCTGTTCTTTTATGTGCTTGGCAGTTTACTATATCACTTAGGCTGCTTTTGAACTATGGAGGGGTGTGTGTTGTGTCTGTGGACCGCCACTAGGGGTCTGCGTGCATAATCCCTAGCTTGGCTCCACAAACAATAGGGGCCAAGGATCCTGGGCCACCTTTAGTGCACCTATAGGAACTTTGGCGGGAGATTCAAACTCAGCAATGAAACTAGGGGTGTGTCTGGGGTGGGTGTATATAGTTGGCCACTGCCAGCCAGTTTTTGTCTTGTGTGTGTTATGCAATAAATGTGACCTGTTCAGCATGTCGTAGTCCAGTCCTCTATGCTTAGAACCCACTATTTAACAAGTCCAAATCCCTGGGTGAGGGCAGGAGTAGAGGAATGTGGAAAACAGTGTATTTGTTTCTGAAGGCTAATCGTTCCAGAACTTTGCCGGGGGTGGGTGGGTGGAAATCCAGCTGACCTGAATCCCCTCTGAAAACTAAATGTGACAAAGCAGAGATTCCAAGATGCAGTGCAGATAATTGAACCATATATTTAAGAAGAACTTTGCTTATCTGAATTTTGCCTATTTTTGTTTTTAAATTTTGTGTATGTGTTCTGCTGATTTTTTGGACTATGGGAACTGCACGTTTTGTTACATAGATCTACAAACTGTCTATGACATTGCTGAATTTAGAATATTTCTTTAGCTTCCTTCTTCTACACAGAACTAGACAAGAAAAAGGGGGGACAATTTATGAACATTTCTTTATCTTTACTAGTTCGTGGGTTTGAAAATATTATTTGAAGTTTTATTATTGTTGAATATTTGTAGAAATGGTATGAACATTTATTTAAATCAGCACAAGAGCCAACTGAACCTAAGGAAGCATAGGATTTGTTTTGTGAAATTCTTTCTGATTTCAGAAATAAGAGTAGTTGGAAAACATTATTTAACCTATAACACTGTAATTATTAGTGTCAATATGCATGGGTATTATTATTAAGGATAAAAGTAAGTGGAATGATTATTCAGTGGAAAAAGAAGAAAATTCCCAAGTAATTTATTGCCAAGTCTGGAATCAAAGGATAGATTCCTTACTCCTGTGTTATCTGAACACATTGAGACTGAGATTTGATTCCATGATAACTGGTAAATTTGTATTTTATTGTGGCATGGGTTGTTGGGCTGGGTTTTTGTATCACAGCCCACTCCAGCTCCCCTAGCCATGTATCCATCACCATGTAGTAAATGTATTCAATTTTGTAAATGAGGCAGGGGACTGAGTCTGGTGAGTTTTTTCATGTTAACACATAACTGCTATACTATAAACGTTAACGTATGACCTTTCTTACATATTTTCATAAAGTATGAGAAACTATTGGTGACACTAGTTTGTGATTCTTTGTAGATATTCTGCCAGTTTCCTTCACTGAAGTAGGGACCTAACCACCGAAATGTGAAAGTCAACTAGAAGCTACGTCTCATTTGTACTTTGGAGTCTTGGACACTATGCAGATAGTGATTAATTTGACCCTAAAATATTGTTCTTTGACTTTTTCCCTTGCAAGGTTTTTTGTATGTTTCACTGACACTGGACTAATTATCATATTGATTACTATATTGAGAATATTAGAAATAATTATTACAATATGTATTTTGATTATAATACTGTTTTGATTTCGCTGTAGTAGCGCTAATTTCACAGTGGATGTTCTGGTTTATCAGAGGCAGGGGTCATTTCATAGAAAAAGAGCTGGGGAACTCATTAGCATAGCTCATTAGCATATGCCACACCCCCTGACATCAGGGGCCCGGCGGTGGACCTGCAAGGCCAGCGGGAGTGCGAGGAAGCCCTGCCAAGGCCCTCCCTGGCCCCAGGCAGGCAGGGGTGGGTAGAGGCAGGGAGGAAGCAACTTACCCTCCCTCTTCTCCTTTCTCCTCCTGGCTGAATGAGGGCTGGAAGTGGGGCGGCCGGAAGCAGGGGGCGGGGCTTCGTCATGTGCCCCGCCCCCTGCACCTCACCCGGGGGAACTGCGTTCCCCCGCGTTCCCCCCCGAAATGACCTCTGATCAGAGGCAGAGAAGGGCAGGGTTCCTTCTAACAGCAGCATAGAAATTTGTTAGGGCAGCTTGTCATGTAGCGATTAGGGATATAGACCTGAAAAACATTAAGAAATTTTCACCTTTGGATTTCAGGAAGGGTATCCATGCCGGTATTCTGGACTACTTAGGTCCCCAGTATCAGTTTGGAATTCAGATTTTTTTCCCTTTCTTTCTGAATTCTGAATTTTTGGGGTCCATTCTTCCCTCTTTCCAGGGGGTGCTGAAATTTGCAGGGATCCTTATTATGTTTATTAGGCTAGGGATCCTAGCCTGTCCACTAAAGACTCCCCCAAGTTTCAAGTGAATTGGATCAAGGGTCCAATACCCCAAGCTCCTGAACAAGCCATCCTGCCAGTCTGCATTGTTTCCTATGGGGGAAAATGATGTGCTTTTTCCAAGGTAAAGAGGCCGCTAGCAAATACAAGAGCAACCATTAGTCAAAAGCCTCCAATACAGAACCAGCATACAGAACCAGCAAGCCCAACAGAACCAATATCAAACCAGAGGATTCCACCAGAACTGCTGGCTAATGTAGCAATCCCTACATAACAAATGTCAAATCAGAGAATCCAAGACAAACCAGCTTAAGCTAGGGATGTAAAAGTGATTGCACCACTTGGGAATAGTGACCATAATGTTATTGAGTTCAACATTTGTATAAATAGGGAGTTGCCCAAAAAGACTGACACAACCACTTTTAACTTTAAAAGGGGTAACTTCTCTGATCTGAGGGGACATGTGAGGAAGAAACTGAAAGGAAAAGTAGAAAGGGTCAAAACCATTGGTGAAGCTTGGAGACTATTTAAAACTACAATCCTAGAAGCTCAGGAAAAAAAATATACCGCAGGTTAGGAAAGGCACCAATAGTTATAGAAAAAATCCCGTATAGTTAACAAAGTAATGGAAGCTGTAAAAGGTAAGAAGGATTCCTTTAAGCGGTGGAAAGCTAGTCTCAGTGAGGTTGATAAAAGGGAACACAGGCTGTGGCAAATAAAATGCAAGCCTGTGATCAGGCAGGCAAAAAGGGAATATGAGGAGCATATAGCAAAAAACATAAAGACCAACAATAAAACTTTCTTCAAATACATTAGAAGCAGGAAACCAGCCAGGGAGGCAGTGGGGCCCTTGGATTACCAAGGGGTAAAAGGAGTACTGAAGGATGAAAGGGAAATGGCTGAGAAGCTGGATACATTTTTTGCCTCTGTCTTCACTGTGGAAGCTGAGAACCACTGATTATGGGAGAGGTGTTGAAAGACCTGAGTCAGATTGAGGTGATGAGAGAGGAGGTCCTATGACTGATAGACAACTTAAAAACTGATAAATCACCAGGCCCGGATGGCATACATCCAAGAGTTCTGAAAGAATTCAAATGTGAACTTGTGGATCTCCTGAGAAAAATATGTAATCTTTCATTAAAAGTGCAGAAAAGGGCAACTAGAATGATACAAGGGTTGGAACACTTTCCCTATGAAGAAAGGTTAAAAAGCTTGGGGCTCTTTAGCTTTGAGAAACAACAGCTGAGGGGTGACATGATTGAAGTTTACAAGATTATGCATGGGATAGAGCAGGTTGAGAAAGACGTACTTTTCTCCCTTTCTCACAATATAAGAACTTTCGGGCACTCAATGAAATTTCTGAGCCGTCGGGCTAGAACAGATAAAAGGAAGTACTTCTTCACCCAAAGAGTGATTAACACATGGAATTCACTGCCACAGGAGGTGGCTGCAGCTACAAGCATGGACAGCTTCAGCATGGAATTAGATAAGCATATGGAACAGAAGTCCATCAGAGGCTATTAGCCACAAGGTATAGATAGGAACTCTCAGGCTGGGGCAAGTGATACTCTTTCTCCCAGCCAGCATCAGGCTGGTTTTTTGCCACTCACTGGCTTATGCTTCTGGCTCCTTGACCAGCCAGTTCTAACTCTCTTTTTAACAGAACAGCTTTTTAACTGTCAGTCTCTCACCAACATTCTGTCAGCTCTCATTGGTTGCTGTTAGGGAGAGGTGGGACTTAGCCTGTCCATCACACCAACTTTGTTCTGAACATTTCTAAGATGGCTTATAGAACAACATATAAAAGGTTTCCCTTGCTCGAAAGCCAGTCAAATCCGACTCTAGGGGGTGGTGCTCATTTCTGTTTCCAAGCTGAAGAGCCAGCACTGTCCGAAGACATTTCCATGGTCATGTGGTTGGTATGACTAAATGCCGAGGCACATGGAACGCTGTTACCTTCCCACCGAGGTGGTCCCTATTTATCTACTTGCAATTTCTTGCTTTTGAACTGCTAGGTTGGCAGGAGCTGGGGCCAGAGATGGGAGTTCACTCCATCATGTGGCACTAGGGTCTTGAACTGCTGAGCTACAGACCTTTCAGTCTGCAGCTCAGTATCTTAATCTCTGAGCCACCGTGGCCCACAACAACAACAACAACATATACTAACATTTAAAACATCGAATTAAATCCTTCAGTCAAGCAAGTAAACTTGATGTCCAACAAGAAAATAAGAAATTGGCCAGACCCCATTGAAGGTTTTATGGAATCAAAGTGTTTTTACATGCCTCCTAGCTTTCTCGGCTTCCCTCAGTGGAAATGCTAAGTGAGGGAGCCACTTGCAAGAAGCTCTGCTTTTTCTAGCTACCTTCTGGGCCCCAGCAGCCCAAAGCATTGCGCCCCATGTGATTAGTTGAGCATATGGGAAGGGTCCTATGGGAGCAGGAGTCCCTGAAATAAACCGTTTAGGGCTAGAAAAGAGCAAGAGTCCAGTAGCGCTTTAAAGACTAACAAATACATGGCAGGATATGAGCTTTCATGAGTCACTGCTCACGTCTTCAGATGTTTAGGGCTAGACCGAACACAATTAAAATGAAAGGCCACTAAAAAGTCAATTACCTGTCTGAAATCCTGAATGCTGAGGAGTCCATTCCCACTTGTGTCATACATCTTAAAAGTTCGTCTCATTGGCCTCCAGCAGTGCAGGATCTGGGGCTGAATCCTCATCATTGCATTGAAAAATGTTGGTGTTTGTGGTCCAGTGGATTTCTTACAAAGATTGGGGAAATTGTTCTCAATTAATACATCAAGACACTTAAATCACACCCTAAAGCTATCACAGGGAAATACATATGTATTCAGGACTTGGAAAAGAAAATATTTCTTTATATAATTACAATTGCCAGCTGGCCTGTGACATGACTGATTATCAGCTTGACTATCCAGGTGGAGGCTGTCCAGTTCTGAAAAGAAGGTTTATCAGATAGTAATCTCTGCCCATCAAGCTATCATTAAAAACAAAGGGCAGAAGGTGGCAAAGAAGTGAGCTATTTTGTATGTATAATTAAGGTATGGAACTCACTGACAGAAGTCTGACAGTGCCCCTTTCAGATTGTTTTTTAAAAAAGAAAACAGTTATTGAAGTTTAACTCTATCAATGGCTATTTATTCCAATAGTTAAGGATAGAAGGGAGGCAGCAACTCTAAAGTAGCTGGAATTCATTACAGGCTGTTTATGAATTTTTGAGGGGTATCTGGATTAATAAAGAGATATACATGCATATACTGAATATATGCTTAGTTGTCAGAAAGTTTTATCTTCATTTGACTGATACAATTTTTTTAAAATCATGGCAGCTTTCAAATCTAATCCATTAAAATACAAAACAGGCTTTAAAAACAGCAGAGAAAGATCGTAAGTTATCTAAAAGCAAATCTGTAATGAGAGGTTGGTGTTCAATGAGGAGCTGAAATGAGATGCAGAGACAATTTAATATCTATAACTATAGATAGGAAGTTTGTACAATCTGTAATAAGATCTGTAATATTCGGGAAATTTATTTATTTATTTATTATTGAATTTATATCCTGCCCTCCCCGCCGTGGTGGGCTCCGGGCGGCTAACAACATACATATAAATGTATACATTAAAACTCCAAATATACTAAAACAAAATTAAGTTAAAGTTACGTTAGGTTAATATAAGACCATAGTTATGCAGCACCTAACTATACTAAAAGATGGTGACATTCTGTCATTTGGATGGCCGCCTCCAGGCTCCTGCCAGGTTGTTAATCATCCGGTTGGTGGTAGTGTTGGTGTTAGGGCCAGGGCCATGTTGTTAAGGCAGCACCCTACTTGAAAGCCTGGCAGAAGAGCTCCATTTTACAGGCCCTGCGGAACTGCAAGAGGTCCCGCAGGGCCCTGATGTCATCCGGGAGCTCATTCCACCAGTGAGGGGCCGCCACAGAAAAGACCCTGGCCCTCGGTGTGGCCAGCCTGGCCTCTTTAGGGCCCAGGAGAGTCAGGCAATTTTGGGATCCCGATCTTAGTGCTCTCTGGGCACATGTGGAGAAAGGCAGTCCCCAAGGTAAGTAGGTCCCCAACCATCTAGAGCTTTAAAGGTAAGAACCTGCACCTTGAACCGGACCCAGTATGCTATAGGCAGGCAGTGCAGTGCTTTTAGGGCGGGCTTGATGTGTTCCCGCACAGGAAGACACAGCAACAGCCTTGTTGCTGCATTCCAGATTTGGGACAAGGGCAGCCCCATGTAGAGAGCATTGCAGTAATCCAATCTTGAGGTGACCATTGTGTAGATCACTGTTGCCAGGACATTGTGTTCAAGGAAGGGAACCAGTTGCCTAATCAGCCATAGGTGGTAAAAGGCAGACTTCGCAGTGGCTGCTACCTGGGCCTCCATCATTAAGGAGGTGTCCGGGAGTACTCCCAAACTCCTAACCTCCAGCGCTGGCACCAACGGAGCCCCATTGAAGGTTGGGAGAGGGATCCCTAACCTTGGCGTGCTCTGACTCAGGCACACGACCTCCGTCTTCGTCGGATTCCGTTTCAGTCGACTCAGTCTAAGCAAACCAGCCACAGCTTTCAGCGCCATGTCCAGATCTCCCGGACTAGAGTCTGACTGGCTGTCCAACAGCAGATAGAGCTGGGTGTCATCAGCATATTGGTGACAGCCCAGTCCATGACTCCGGGCAATCTAGGCAAGGGGGCGCAAATAGATGTTGAACAGCATTGTGGAAAGCACTGCTCCTTGGGACACTCCACAAGTTAGCAGGTGCCTTCTGGACAGCTGTTCCCCAGCAGCCGCCCTTTGCCCCCAACCCTGGAGGAATGAGGATAGCCACTGCAAGGCAAACTCCTGAATCCCAGAATCAGCGAGGCAGTGGATCAGTAGTTGATGGTCGACCATATTGAACGCCGCCGACAGGTCCAACAACATCAACACTGCCATACCGCCTCGATCCATATGCCTCCAGAGATCATCTGTGAGGGCAACCAGGACCATCTCTGTCCCATGGCCTGGTCAAAAGCTGGACTGGAAGGGATCTAATATGGAGGTGTCATCCAAAAAACCCTGCAATCAATTCGCCACCACCTTCTCTATTAGTTTTGCCCAAATTGGATACCGGCCAGTAGTTAGCTAATTCAGCCGGATCTGATGATGGCTTTTTTTGGAGTAAATTTTTCAGTTTACACATGCATTTCCATTAGTTTGAATCCTAGTAGAATATTCTAACCACTACACCATGCTGGTTTACTTGGAAGTAAACCCTATGTTATTCAATTGGACTTACTCTTGGGAAAGTTAATTGCAGTCTAGAACTCTCACAAGAGAAAGACAATCATGAGAGACTGTGGAACAAATCATAAAGCATTTATTATGCATAAACACCATTTGTGGTCTTTGGATGGCTGAAACAATTTGGGTTTTTTCATTTCATTTCATTAGGGAAGAGTTTAACAGTGATGTTTCAGGGTCAAAATTGTCCTGTGCGCACATCTATCTCATAAGAACATAAGAAGAAACCTGCTGGATCAGACCAGTGATCCATCTAGTCCAGTACACTGTTTAACACAATGCCAACCAGCTGCCCTAGAGTGTCAATGAACAGAGCACAGAGACGTAGGCCTTTCTCCCAGCACTGAGTTTCAGAGGTTTGCTCCTTCTGAAAGTGGAGGTTCCCTTTAGTAACCATGGCTAGTAGCCATAGAGAGATCTTTCCTCCAACACTGATGGATCTTTCCTCCATGAATCTGTCCAACAAGATCTGTGCTTGTGGACATCACTACATCCAATAGCAGCAAATTCCACAATTTAATTACACATTAAGTAAAGAAGCATTTCCTTTTGCCTGTCCTGAACCTATTGCTCATCAGTTCCCATGAGTTCTAGTGTTATTGAAAAGGGAGAAAAGGAGCTCTCGATCCATTTTCTCCATCCAATGCATAATTTTATAAATTTCTATCATCTCCTCTTAGCTGCTTTTTTCTAGCCTTGTAAATGCCCAGACTCTTCAGCTGTTCCTATGAGAAAGATGCTCCAGCATCTTGGTTGCCCTCTTCTGTAATTTTTCTGGCTTTACAATCAATGTTCCCTCTAAGCTGTGGAGTCTTGTGAGCAAAAATACTACTTTGTGAGCTGCTCGCATTAAAGTTGTGAGTGGGTGATGTGGCTACTGCATAAATTAGTTTGCTCTGGAGCCATCCTTCCTGAACTGAGACAAAATGTGTGAGCCGGAGGCTAAAAAACTGTGAACTAGCTCACACTAACTCAGCTTAGAGGGAACACTGTTTACAATACCCTTTTTGAGATATGTCAACAAGAACTATACACAGTATTCCAAATGAGGCCTCACTGCTGCTCTATACCAAATCATTACAATATGGGCTATTTTATTTTCAGTACCTTTCATAATAATCCCCAGCATGAAGTTTGCTTTTTTCACTGCTGCCACACACCGAGTCTACATTTTCATTGAGGTTTCTACTATAACCCCAAGATTATAACTTCAATATGGAGTGAGCAAACAGGACAAACAAACAGAGAGTTTTGTGAGGGAGCAAAGCAGGTACCATGGAAGTGGTTTGTGTTCTATGGAATTAAGCAGGTGATTCTACGAAGTGTGTAGCTTGTGCTTAGTTTGTTTGACTTGGCTGTTTGATTCTCATGCAAAATTTATGCTTTGCTGCTTGGTTCTGGTGTGTTAAGTTCTACCTTGAGTGAGTTGAGGCTTGTTTTCTGCAGTGTGTATTTCCCCATCTTTTTCTGAGGCTTGTTTTGTGTAGTGTGTAGTTGCCCTCTTTTCCAGTGTCTGCTGATTAAGGTGAGTCAACTGATGAGTTGTTTGGGGGTGGGATCTGCAGTCACACAGCTATATAAATAGCATCGCAAAGCTAGTGAGCTTGTGATCAGGAGTGAGTGAACAGGAGGAGCAAACAAGGGAGTGCAGGAAAGACATGGCTACTTCCTATATGGATCAACATTGCTGGTGAGGGAGCTGAGGGAGTGACCTGCAAGTCTGTGGCATGTTTGTTTTCTTGCCTGAGGATAATTACAATTATACTTGTAGCGAGTGTAAATTACTCTGCTCTGGTTAGACTTCACTTGGAGTACTGTTTTCAGTTTTGGGCACTGCCGTTTAAGAAGGATGTTGACGAGCTGGAATGTGTCCAGAGGAGGGCAACAGAAATGGTGAGTGGTCTGGAGACCAAGTCCTATGAGGAAAGGTTGAAGGAGCTGGGTATGTTGAGCCTGGAGAGGAGATGACTGATAGCCATCTTCACGTATTTGAAGGGCTGTCATATAGAGGATGAAGCAGAGTTGTTTTCTGTTGTCCTAGAAGGTTGATTGAAAACCAATGGATGGAAATCTTAAAAGTTTTCAGCTAAACTTTAGGGGGAAAACTCCTAAACAGGGGTCATTTCCTGCAGGAGTGCACAGGAGCGGAGCTCCGGCAGTAAAGAGCCCAGGGGGCGGGCACATGCAACAAGCCCCACCCCGTTCCCAGCAGCCCTCAGTCAGAGCAAGAAGCAGCCAGGTAAGTTGCAGAGCTCTCCCGGCCCCCCGGTTCAAAACAGTCCAGTGGCACTGTAACGATTTCATGTTTTTTGTGTTTGTGTCTTTAAAAGTGGTTTGCATGGCTGTGTGATGATAATGTAGAATGCTGGACAGGGATGTGGTGTGATTGGTGATTGACAGAGAGGGGGAGGGAGGATAAGATATGTCAGTCAAGAGTGTCAGTTGAAGGGTGTTTGTTAGAGTTATGAGAGGGGAAAAAGACAGTTAAACAGAGTCTGTCAGCAGAGAGGGCTGTGTGAAAGCAGTTGTTATAAGTTCTGTCTAGTAAAAGAGTTAAGCAGTTTGTTCGTTTTAAGGTCTGAGAGAGAGAAGTCTGGTGTGTGTTATGAAAAGTTAAAGCATAAAGAAACAGTAACCATATATGGCCTAAGGAAAAGATTGTTACAAAGTGACATGCCCTGATCCCTGTCAATAAGAGGGAAGAGTGTGTGAACATCAAATAAATCTACTTTTATTTAAGACACAAGTTCTGAACGAAATTCCTCAAGAAACACATGGTCCTTCGAAAGCCCAGACCCTGGGTCACAATACCTACCCAGAGAGGGAAAATATTATAGAAAAGGTGTGGGAAAGCCTAAATTTCCCTGGTGGCAGCCAGAATACCCAAAGAAAAATAAACCATAAGAACTTTTAAAGTAAAACTAGACCTCCCCAGATAAGAGGTCGTCACAGGCACCTTTAAGACCAAGTTTTATTCAGGTGCAAGCTCTCCCTCCTCTGCAAGGACAGATCTGCACGTTCCCCCTAGTCCCCAATAGCTAGCAATCCAAAACAGTCCAGTGGAGCCTGAGCGGTGGGTGTTGCCTTCTAACACACTTCCAGTGATGTCAGAGGTGTGGCATATGCAAATAAGTTCTGCTAATGAGCTCCTGCACCTCTTTTTCTACAAAATGACCCCTGCTCCTAAATATTTGGAGATTATTAAGCAGAGGCTAGATAGTCATCTGACGGCAATGCTGATTCTATGAATTTAGGCAGATTGTGAGAGGGAGGGTGGGAAGGGATGAGTCAGTGCTTGGCTCTCATCATGGCCCTTTCTTATATGCCCAAGGTAATGCTGATTGCCACTTTGGGGACAGGAAGGAACTTTCCTCTAGGCCAGCTCTATGTTTCTGTTCATTCTCAATCTCAGCCAATTCAGACCCTATCAGCATATACTTAAAGTTAGGATTTTTCTTCTTCCAATGTGCATCGTCTTACCAACACTAAACTTCATTTGCCATGTTGTTGCCTGTTCAGAGAGATAGTCCTATAGTTCTTCATAATCAGCCTTAGTTTTCACCATTCTGAATAATTTCCTTTAGAAACTACTCACAGACATAATTTTGTTTGGCTTCAAGAATTTTCTCCATTTGTCCAAAGAATGTTTACCTGTATTTGTGGATTTTGGATTACAATCCTTTGTAGAGGAGATGTGTCTTGTTGTTTAAGCAACAGCACACAGCTTTGTAAGAAGTCACAGTATGCAAATTTGCCAACACTCTTAAAATCATATTTTGTTATGAGTTGCTTACTTTCTTCTTTGGTCAAATTCAAATGAAATTTCTCTGCTATAGCTGAAATAAACACAGGAATATCTGAATCAGAAGTGTAACAACTATGTTTTTAGAGTACCCATAACACTTGCAATTAGTTTTGGACAAGAGGGCAGGCTGGCTGAGCTGTTAAAATCATAAAATACACATTTTTAGAGTTTACTTCTACAGCAATATGAATACAGGAGCACCAGTTAACTAAGATAGCAAGATATGCACCCTTCTTTTAAGGATGTTCTGGGTCTCATTGGATAAATGGCAACAGATTGTATAAACTGTCCCCATTAAAAGTGAATTAATAAATGAAGATGAATTGACACAATTCTTTATGGCTTCACTTGACAATTCTGGCTCTTTTTAATACATTTGGCATTCAAAATGAACAAAGTAAAAAATGAACATAGGAATTAATTTTCATCTAATCTGACAACTAATTTTCCATATGGTCAGGCCAGCTGTGCGTCTGAACTACTGGAGCCAGCAAACACAGAATTTTGTGTGGAAGTAAAGCAGTGTGGTTTCTGTGGAAGTAAGCAGGACAGTATGTGAAAAGTACTCAGAAACGTGGAGTGATTTCAGCAAGAGTACTTTATTCAATCAGGAACAAGACAAGGACAGCCGGCTCGCAGGCCGGTATATATGCCCAGAAAACCCACCACCAAAACACGCCCCTATTCACCCTATAGGTTATTTACAGTAGCTGAGAGTCTCATAGGCTCTCGGCTGCGGACATGGCCCTCTGATTGGTGCGGGCTAGGATCCGCTTGGCTATTGTTCTAAATGAACGAAGCTAAAGGCTTGTGCTTGACCGCATGGCCCAACGGTCGCGCACGTGGTAATGGCGGATACATTACAGTATGCTAAGGTTATGGCTTTTTTGGGGGGGGGTCAAGTGTGTGTCTTACATCCTTTTCCCATGTCTGATGATTAAGGTGAGTCTGCTGATTAAAGTGAGTCACTTGACTTGAGTCACCTGAACTGGGTTGGTTGAGGGTGGGTTCTGCAGTTACCCAGCTATATAAAGAGCACCACAAAACTAGTGAGCTCATGATCAGGAGCGAGTGAACAGGAGGAGCAAACAGGGAGTT